GTGTTGATATAACTATATATCAATACGGGAAAATGTTCTATATATTTTTTATAATATAGCACAAAGAAATATAAAGAAATAAATTTTCCGTGTTGACAGGTATGATCTTGTAAAAGTTTGCCGACTTAATAAATTGAGATTGAGACATTGAGTTATGTCAACACGGCTCTTAGCCAATCAGCGTTCAGAATTTACAAATGCTATATTATAAATGATTTTTTTTATTATTATTTAAGTTTGCCAGGCAGGCTTTTATAGAATTTTTTTCATATACTGTACAACCATATGGAAAGTTCCTTCATATGAAAGTGATGCTTCTTTTCTCGACAACCGCAACAGGACCACTTGGATGAGACTTAATACTGGGGCTTCCAAATGCATCGTAATCTTCCTTATCAATTACGAACGCCGTGGTCTCATGCAGTTCACCTGCTTCAGTGTAGCACAGAAGGAAATATTTTCTCTCGACGCTCATGGTTAAAATAATTATTTTACAAATGACATAATGAAACACCAACCCACGGACCTCGTGACCTTCTGGTAATTTTATTGTCGATTTCAGATTTCCTTCCACGGAGTATATCTCCACAGCCCGATTTTTTTCCGATGATATCATGATTTCATCCTGCCCAGAAATACCCAAGGATCGATAATATTGTCGATAATGTCTTCGTTCAAACTTGTGCTTTAATTTTCCAGTTTTGTCACAGATATATAGGCCTACCTGGGGATCATCATATGTGGTCATGATGATATCATTGTTCTTGTTTATAGCGATCTCCACATAATATGTTGCCTTCAGAAATTCCAATCTGCGCGAGTCCTGCTTTACATTGTAGTTCTCGTCCAGTACATCCAACACGTAACTGTCCACATCGTCATTTTCCGTACGTGTTCTAAGGTATCTCACCACGTAAACATTGTCATCGTTATCAACAGCAAGTGCGTCAATAAATTGCGCGACAACGTTACCTCCATGACTGGGTAAATTAACAACCTTGCTTTTACCTTTCTTATTTATAAGCATGATGCTGCCAGAATCGTCCCCATGGCTGTTTACAAAAACATTCCCATGGCTGTTTACAGCAGAACGATGAGGACGTATAATATTTATTGTATTAAGTATCAGTTTGTTGGGAGGTTGGGTCAGTTCATCGCCCATAGATTCTCTTGTCGAAACCTCCCGCCATTTCAATATTGGGTTAAAACTACGATCAGCAAGTTCAATTGTTGACCAGGCGTGTACAGAAGTATACTTGCGGCTGAATTTAAAAACATATTTAAACACAACATAATTGATCATCATTACCGACTTGACGTTTTCTGCTCGTTGGTCTTTATTCCACATCGATTTGATTCCTCCGTTTAGATACACGTTGAACATCCCCTGAACCGCAGGTAAGGCGTGCAGTTTTTTCAAAAGTGACAGACACCCTGGAATTGCTGTTTCAGGACTTTCGAGACATTCGAGCAACTCAGAAACTACCCGTAGTTTCGCGGCAACGATTCTTTCTTCAATATGTAGAGATTCAATACGAAAAGCATGGGTCGCTGCCTTGCGGGCGTCTTTGAATCGTTCTAGAGCTGATTCAAACTCCTTATCCGCGTTGATTTTCAGTTCTCTTATGGCTTGAGAAAGTTCCACGGCTTCCCTTAAGATCTCAGACTGGATAACGCTCGACCTTCCGGCTGTTGTTTCTGCTTTCTGCTCGAGCTTTGATTTATCAAGGGAAACATTGAGTAAATGTACTCCTTCTTGTAGGAAATCGTAGCTACTGAGCAGATCTTTGCGTGAGAGACCATCAAGTTTCGTCTTGATGTCGTTCGACTCGCTAACGAAAATCTCTCGAATTTTTGTATCCGTCACATCCCCATCCTTCAGTTTAGCCGCAGTCAAGTCGCGAGCTCCGTTCCATAACAAGCCTACGGTTGAACTTAAGATGCTTGTTATTATCGAAGACATGGTAGTTTTATAATTAAAACGATGAAAGATTTCAAGCTATACGTCTCGCTCGATGAGAAGTGTTGTCAATTGAAATATTTTACATGATGCAATGTTCATTTATCGTTGTTAAATATCTCCTACAGTTTACTTACAATACTTGATTTGAAATGGCAACATGGGAGGTAAGAAATTATCTTTAGCATTTGAATAGAAAGTTGGATGAACTGGTTTTGAATTGTGTCAGCACATTTTATTGAACCATATACATCAACCGATGAACTACATAATGACGATATAGCCAGTTGTATAGACTAAAGTGCTTCCCTAAATAAAATAGTTATTACAAAACCGGAATGATATTTCTGGTATAGAAGTCAAAAACGTAGACGATAGTTTAAAGACAGACACTATAAATAATACCACAACAACTTTACCACTTTGCGTCAGTGTTCATTAGTTTGATTTTCCAATTTTCTGGTAGGATTCCTTGTTCACTGACAATCTATAGTCAGTGGGAAATAGGAGTAAGAAGCCGATTTTGAATGACTTCATTTATATATTTTGAAATTTGAAAATTAAAAAGCCATAATTCACATTATTATTTTGCAACCATACCGTCACCTAATTTAGATAACATGCCGATTATTTAGAATAAAGAGGGTTTTTTTTAAATCATTCAGTGAATTCGGTCTCCCAAGGAGATATGTTATAAATATACAGACAGCTTGTCTGCTATGAGCAATTATACACTTTATTCTTTACTCTATCGCCAAAAGCTAAAAGCATTTTTAAATTAATTGATAATTTTCCATAATTTAGAGAGGAAAATTTATCCGCTATTACGTATATTGTGTTTTTTTTTTCAATAATTGTATTTTGCTTAATTGCTGCCGAAGGCAGCACTCCTAATCTTGCTCCAGAGTTCACTCGACCCAGTCTTTCGCGCCGATCTATGTGTTGTCGAGATCTAGATCTTGTGCAATCTCGTTCCCCGAGCATGCCCGTTCGCAGGTTAAGGGTGGGCATAGCTCTGGAGAAATCGAATTGATTCACGTTGAATTTCCAACGTGAGTTCTACGCATGCTCGGCAATGTTGCAAAATATAAATAAAGTATTTTATAGAATTTCGCGTCGAAAATTTGATACATTTTACACTGAAATCGAATTGAAAACAACTAAAAATTCTGGGGGAAATATGTACGAAAGCTTCGGTTGGATAGGGATGCAGCTACCTGAAAAATACAAGGAGAACTTCGACGTTTCGAGCGAAGGCGCTTCGATTTGTACTGTTAGTGTTTGTATACATCGTACTTGACCTTTGCTGATAAATATAATCTCCTCAATAATAAGTATTATATATTTTTATGCTTTAAAATTTACATTTAACTCTCCTGTCAGAATTTATGGTATACGTAGTGTTAGGTACGACAGTATAAAAGGTCAAATACGAGTATTGTATACAAACTATTACAGTACAAGTCGCTTGACTCGCTTAACCTTCGCTCGAAACGTCCAAGTTCTCCTTGTATTTTCAGGTACTTGTTTCCCTATCAATCCGAAGCTTTCGTACATATCTCCCCAATTTCTATTTGTTTTCAATTCGATTTCAGTGTAAAAAGTAGCAAATTTTCGACGAGAAATTCTAAATACTTTGTTTATATTTTGCAACAATTCCTAAGCATGCGTAGAGCTCACGTTGGAAATCCAACGTGCTATATCTGCCGCTAGCCAATCAGCGGCCTGAATCAATTCGATTTCTC